AGTGGGGGGGGGTGGGAACAACTAACTTTCTGTACACACCACCTTCACTTCCTTCTACTGATTTTTGTGGAAGAGCAAACTTTAATAAGTCACTAGGAGGAAGTAGCTTTAAGGTTTGGAATAGTGGGGATAGCCTTCCCTTGCAAGTTCGTTGACAGGACCCAACTTCTCAGTGTCCAAGTCGTAGTTCCTTGTGACTCTTACAGTTACCTGTGCAAGCCTTTTACAAGGCTGTTGTTATCCTGGCAGTAGTACAGAACTAGAGGGGATTACCCAGCTTACTAATAAGGATATAGGCCAGAAGAAGCTTTGAACTATACAAACAAATGGATAGGGAAGTGTTGGCATAAGGCCAACATGCTTTCATGGCCCTGTCCTCTGAGACATTGTACATGGCCTGGGGCACACCATCTCAGATCTTCTTTTTCCTCAGACAGATTTTTTTTAAAGATTCATTTATTTATGTATACAGAGCTGGGGTACAGGCCAGAGGCGCAGGGGCAGCAAGAGGATTCACCAGAGACAGAGTGGGGAGCGGAACAGGCAGATCAACGAAGCACTGCTGAGGGGAGCAGTGGGCAGGTCAGGAGAGATCTGCTGCACCATGTGGGTCGCCTCCCTGTCTGGGATCAAACTTGCACTGAAGTGGCTGCGGCTAGCTTACAGTGCTCTGCCCTAACCTACTGTGCCACCAGGGAGGGCCCAGTTTTGTTTTTTTTTTAATTGAAGTAATATTGGTTTACAACATTGTATCACTGTATGTGATTTAGGAGAAAAGTTTCACCCCTCCTCAGATGGATGTTACCACACCATACCACACCTACCACCAGACTAACCATTGGGGCTCTCCTGCTTTGGTCCCACCCACACCTTCTCTATACCTCCAATTTCTAATTTTCTTAGAAAGTTCCATTATCAATATTTTGTTTTCCTGGCTAACCACATTGCCTTTTAAATGTATATACCCTTCAATTCCGTTATTTCCATTTAACAAGGCTCTTCTCACTCTAAAACATAACTTCAGAAATAAACTAGGAATAGGCACAAGTATAGCCATCACAACTTTATTGTGAGGTCAGAGCCCAGTATACTCTTCAATTATCCAAAGCTTCTTGCTTTATAAATGATAGTACTTCCACACAATGGGAATGATGGAATTTAAGAGTAGAAGAATTTAGAATGGAAGATCTTCAAAGGGCAGACACCAGAGGTGGATGTAGGGATGATCAGAGACTCTTGTAGTAAACCTTACTTTGGAAGTTTCAGGAATCTAAAGTGTGGTCAGATAAGATTATCAGTCAGGGGTGGGGATAGAGAGGCTTGTCAGTCTTAGAAGACCAACCTAATCTGACCCCATTGTGATAATTTCCACAATCATTGCATCAAACAACATGATATGAGAATACCCCTTGCCCTGGCAAAACATAGTTCTCCTTTTAAGACCGCCTATCTTTGTTTATTCTCTCCTTGTTCTCCTTTCCTAAATAAACTTGCTGTGTACTAATGAAGGGGGTGGGGGGAGATGTCTGCTGAATTGTTTCTCAGAGGAACCCAAGAACCACACGCACTGAACCCCTTGTGTGAATTCCATCAGGAACTGGTGATTAAAAGTGATGGTGTACAGGCCCTCCCTGGTGTCACAGCGGGTTAAAGCACTGCACTGAGAAGCTAAAGCCACTTCCGCATGAGTTCGATTCCCACCTGCCCCAGAGGTGACCACATGGCGTGGCAGACCTCTCCTGACCTGCCCGCTGCTCCCCTCAGCAGTGTACTTTGTCGATCTGCCTGTTCTGCTCCCCACTCTGTCTCTGGTGAATCCTCTCACCGCTCCTGAGCCTCTGGCCTATACCCCAGTTCTGCATGCACAAATAAATAAATCTTAAAAAAAAAAAAAAGTGATGGTGTACTAATTGCTGACAGAGTTTCAAAATTTATTAATTGAAAATAAATGCAAAACAGCATTATAGAATAAACATAACAATGTAATAATGGCATTTAAACAAAAAATGGGGCAGGGACAGTAATAGATTAAAAGAGACTTAAGAGATATTACCAATCATATGCAGTGTGTTTGGATCCTGTCAAGCAAACCAAGTGAAAAAAAGTCACATAGTTTTTAGAAAACTAGAGGAAGTTGACATAAAGGAATGAATCTAGATTTGTTCACGGGAACTGTGATTTTCTAAAGTCTATATCTTAGCTGACATAGATGAAAATGGGGGAGGGGATTAAGTAAAACATATTCTTATTTCTGATTTTACATACATGCATCTTTTATATGTTTACAAATGCCTGGGAGAAGCTGGAATATCCATCTTTGGAGAACCGGTAATGGCTAGTTTTCTCTTCTTTTTACTTATCTGTCTTTTTTCCCCCTTAACCAGGTATACACTTGTGTAACTAGGGCAAGTACAGTAAATGTTATCTCTTGGGGACAAGGGCACTGTAAGTTGACCTGAGGAGTTCCTGGGAGCCCTGCCAGGCAGGAGGAGCTAAGGTAGGCTTGTGGGAGAGGCTTCCAGGACTGGGAAGGTCCAAGCAGACCTGTAGCTGATGAGTCAGTGCACGTACAACCTATGAGGTCTGCATAGGACTATGTGGCTTCAGCACCAGCCACCAGACACCTGGGACTGTTTGCAAGGGGGTGAGGTTTCCAAAGAACTGAGGAATCCTGGCCTCAAACCTTTGGCCTCAAACTCTTTGTAACAGGCTGCCTCTTATGGCCTAATGGATCCAAGACTCACAAGGACACAGGACACCAGAGGACAGAGGCTTCTCCATGGGAAAAGGCAAATATCCACAAAACTCTGTCTCCTCTGACCATTACTCTCTTTTTTCTAACTGGGCCATCCATACGTCCATTTTTACTTTTGTTTTATTATTTTTTTAAAAGATTTATTTATTTATGCTTACAGAACTGGAGTACAGGCCAGAAGTGTGACCAGTGACAGGATTCACCAGAGACAGAGTGGGGAGCAGAACAGGCAGACCCACTGAAGTACACTACTGAGGGGAGCAGCAGGTGGGTCAGGAGAGGTCTGCTGTGCCATGTGGGTCAACTCCCTGGCCAGGGATTGAACTGGTGCTGCAGTGGCTTCAGAGAGCTTCATAGTGCGGTGCTTTAACCCATTGTGCCACCAGGGAGATCCCCTGACCATTACTCTTAACCTCTGGCCCAAACAACTTCCCACAGGCCACCTGTTGGGGGATCAACAAGGAGCCAAAAAGAGGCAGGGCTGCACTTTGTGGAATGAAACTTGGATGAACTGAGGATCAGGAGTTGGGAGTCCAGCAGTGACTTCATCTCTGCATCAGGGTCCTTCTTCTCAGCTTGCCTCATTGACACCCCACCCAGGTGCTGGGAGTGGCTGCTGGGTGGGGTCCTTAGTGTTGACTGAAAGTGAGCAAGTTACTAGGGCCAGGTGACAGAGCACAGAGGCTGATAGAGCCACCCAAGGTTGGGGAATTTGTGGGGAATTTACATTCTTGGTTCCGGGGTTGATTCATTGAGTCAACCAATGTTTATTGAGCCCCCAGTGGAAGTAATAGGGGAAATTACTTCCTGGGTTCCCTGTAGCCCTTTCTGAATGTGGGGTTTCCCAACCCTCCTTGTTCTCAGGAATATTGTCTTGGTGCCCAGAGTTCCTGATTGTCAGCTAGGTGCTAGGTCACATGGGAGGGGGTGAGAGGGGGCTCTTGCCAAGGGTAAAAGTTCTGGCATGAGGAAATCTGAAAACAGCAGGCAGATATTAGAATAGAGATAATAAGCTTTCACTAGTGGGAACAATGGAGCCCCCTAGGCAGTAGCCCCTTGCTCACTGCACCCTAACATCCCTAGCAACTGCTTCACACTCATATGCACTTCCAATGTACTGGCCCCACCTTTGTAATTGATCCTAATAAATCTGAGACTGCCTTTGGATGGGGCCTGTTCATTACTGGTGTGATCCCTCTTGGCTTTTCACTGCTCCCCATTCTTACCCATGCTGTTCCCAGCACTGATGCTCAATGAGGAGATGTCTGAGCTGGCAGGGAGAGAGGGAAACCATTCAATAAGGAAGCAAAGGTCAGGCAACCTCGTTATTAGCTCAGTACTGACTTGGGCCCTTTCACCACCAGGACGTACTGAACAACCAGCACTTCCAGGCCCACCCACACTTCCTCCTTTCCCTTCACCCTCTCTACCCCTTCTTGGAAAGCTGTAGAGCATCACAGGAGCTTGAGAGTTGTGGGGAAGATTTGGAAATGGGATGTATTTTCTGAATGGCTGCTTCCCATCAGTCCATTTACTCTTAGTAATTATCCCTGTGTAGCAGGCTCCAGGAGGCCCATTGAACAAGCCAGAAAATGGAGGCCAACTCCTTGACTTTGAGGATTCAGTCCAGTAGCAGTTGTGAAAGAAGTGACTCATTTCTGTCCTTGGTAGGTCTACCTTGCCAGGTATACTCTTCAGCTCTTAAGACTTTTTCAATCTCAGGGCCCTCCTCCTGCCATAAAACCACTAAGGAAAAGCAGTTACATGGGAATTGAACACAGTGAACCCACTTCACTCAGGGGGGGCATTCCTATTGGAAGTTTTCCCTCTAGAAAGAGAAGAAGGCTTTCACTTTCTACCTTCAAGGAATTTTGTACACCATTTAGCTGAAAGGAGAGTTTTAAAAAGCACAAGTGGGCGGTGTGGTTACTGAGTATGTGTGTGTGTGTGCGTGTGTGTTTGTGTGTACAACATCCCACCCACTCCCAGAGATAACATGTGAGAAGAAAAATAGTGTGATGTTGAGCAAATTACTTAATTTCGCTATTTCCTTAGCTGCAAAATAATCGTATGTATTCTACTGCTATGAGGATTAGACACTAGTGTAAATTTCCAACAGTCAATGAAATGATATCTGATGCACAAAGTGTTATTTTCAAAAATCCTTTATCCTTCCCTTTGTGAAATCGGGAACCTAGGTCTACCCATCCCTTAACAGAGACACAAATGGCAGCAGTGGTCAGGCAGACAAGCAAAATTTATTGAATTTTGAAGCAGGGTTATTGTTCAAAGCAGTGTGAGGAACTCCAGGCACTGTCATAGCCTGTTGTCATAAAAAAAAAAAAAAAGCTGAAACTCTTCAAACTTCCAAGGCTAAGTTCTGTCATGGCTACCATATCCTCATCCTTGATTAACACTCTCAAAGTCACAAGTGGGTATAATGTGATTTGCATCAAAGTCTTAAGGGGAAGCCCCAGGACTAAAATAAGACAGAAAGATACCAAGAGCCTTAGATAGCTATGTTTCTAATTGCAGGAACGAATGTAATTGTCTAATCATCATGAGAGTTTGAGCCTAGAAGGGGATGCTAATTTTGTGAGGTCAATAAAACAGACTTGGGTAGTCAGGCAGGATTTAAGTTCTTCCAGGAGGACTCCAGGTGAGTGTCCTTACACAGGAGGCTCCTGGTTGCCTACTGACAAGGGAGACTGCAGTGGCCACCCCTGGTGAAGAGTGGGAATGATGAGTTTGGGTAAGGGGGTTCTGCACCTTACAATGTAATTTACACAGGAGTTGAAGAACAGGCATACTTCAGTGTTGAGAAGTTGTCTGACTTTTGGAGAAGACAGCAGGTTTAATCTCATCTGAGATAGTGTTTTTATTTGATTGATTGGTTTTAAGATTATCTTAGATCCAAGAAGGTCACTTCTTTGTTCTCTTTTCATCATCAAACCAAATAAATAGCACTTATATCTAGGAATACTGTGGTCTACATTAAAACTTCCTACACTCCCCCCTCCAAATTAGCTTCTGGATCATTTAAATCTTGCTAGTGTTCTCTTTATAACTGAGCCCCCATCCCTGACCTGGTCACAGTCACAATGGAACCAGGAACACAACAGGCAGATTTTGTTCCTTGCTCAACAACAACACTCCAGGAAGAAGGGGACTTCATAGCACAGACTGTCAAGCTCTGCTCTAGTTGATGAGCTTTGCTTAGCACGAACAGGTCATTCTGGCTGCAAGTTCCTCCAAACTATTTCCACTTGGGGTTTTAAGGCACTGCAACTCCTCTGTGTAAAGCTCTCTGCTTATAAGGAATTATTTTAGTTATTCTTACTACTATTCCTGCATCACTGCATCAAAGCTCACCCCCACCCAGCCATTGGCCCTGAGATGCTGAGAGAGTGGGGATGAAGACAGATCCCAATTAATATCAGGGATTCTGGTCACTGGGATCACACTTGAGCATGACTTTCAAACCCAATCCCTTTCTTGATGTTTCAAAGGCCTCTAGAGCTTTCTCCAGAGGAAACCTATGGGTGACTAAAGGCTTCACATTCACAGACTTAGATGCAAGCATTGAAATCGCCACTGGCCACCTGTAAAAGATCACAAGTATTATATTCAATCTTCAGGAGGAAAGACTCATATCCCACAAACTACCAAAACCAAGACTAGCTTGGCCATCTTTATTTATAGCACTGCAGTTCTATAAGGTCCATTGTACAGATCGATAACAGTAGAAATATTTTTTTGACTTGTAATCTGGAAATAGAGCTCATTCCTAAATTCCCCCTCCCCCATTCCACCTTCTACTTTGTAATGCCACCATGACACCTAGAATTCCTTTGGTATGACGGCATAAAGCATGTGGAGACCACTGTGAAAAGGCAGATAAACCTCAGGGAGGCAGCCTTATATAATCCAGTCACATCCTTTAGCAGCTCAACTTGGCAGAGTTTCTAGAAAATAGGCACTTTTCTGGGAGAATGGTCATAGACTCTAAAGGTAGGAGTAACGGACACTGCTGGGGAAGGTTGCTCAAGACACAGAACCCTGTTAAGGAGAGGGTGGAACCCACAGAATATGGGGTGGGACAAATTAAAACACTCTCATTTTCCAACGGGGCCACTGGGCTCAGGAGTAGGAACCCAGGGATTTGGCTCCTAACTTGCCATTGTCCTCCTTTTTCTCTTTCTTCCCTTTAAAGGGGGAAAATGAGGGAGCTGGCCCCTTAAGGAAGTGGAAAAGAGAAGGCCTGTGTGATGAGTAGCAAACACTCAAGAATAGTGTGCTTCAAATCCTCCAAGCCACTCCCCACTCCGCCTCTCTGCCTTCCTGTTCTTTAACCAGTAGGGAATGGTCTCTGTTTGGATCCCTACCAAAATCAGATTACATGGTTGTCAGTCTGGCCAAGCAGTACACCTCATGAATAGGCAGGAACTCTTGGTCCCAGAGGCCACATGGGCCTGTCCTGGTCTTGCTGGCTGCTCGCCTCTTTCAGCAGGTCCACAACATACTCACGTGTTACAGTATCGAAATACGCCCTTGATATCCACCTCCCGGATGGCTGCATGCACTAGAGGCACTTGGGTCATCTCAGAGCCCAGCCCCACGAGCACCAGGGTCCCACCAGAACGAGTGGCCTGAAGAGGAGGTAAGAACAGGAAAATTCATAATTCTGTTACTCCACAAAACACAATTGTCACACAAACATCTTCCTGTGGCATCAGGTAGGTATGAAAAATTCTATATGGTTCAATTTTCAACATGTCAACCAAACTCAACCTAGCAGCAGCGTAAACATTGTTTTCTTAAAGGATCCTGAGATAATATACTTCCCCCATGGAGACCCAGGTACAAAAAAACATCCTCCATGGTCCACAATATCCAAGAAACAGCCAAACTTCCCCAGACACCACAAAAATCTCCCCTACAAACAAGAGCGGCCTTCAGCAGCCTCTGAGCACCTTTCAACATTTTACTAATTCAGTACCAGGTGTTGGCATAGTAGCTTCCATTTCTCAGTCCTGCCCCTCCTCCAGCATGCCCACCCACAAGATAGGGCTTCCATCAAACTTCTAAGAAATTACCTTTCTGGTAAGAAAACTATGTAGCACCATATAAATGGCAGGGAAGGGAGGTAATGCTGGAATTTTGTAGTTTAAAAGTTGCCTTAGGCCCTCCCTGGTGGCGAGTGGGTTAAAGCACAGCACTAAGAAGCTAAAGCCACTTCAGCATGAGTTCAATCCCCAATCCCCGCCCTGGAGGTGACCCACATGGAGTAGACCTCTCCTGACCCGCCCACTGCTCCCGGCAGCAATGTACTTCATCAGTCAGCCTGTTCTGCTCCCCACTCTGTCTCTGGTGAATCCTCTCACTGCCCCTATACCCCTGGCCTGTACCCCAGCTCTGTATGCATAAGTAAATAAATCTTTAAAAAAAAAAAAAAGTTGCCTTGAGGCCCTCCCTGCTGGTGCAATGTGTTAAAGCGCAGCACTATGAAGTCAACCGCAGCTACTGTAGCATGAGTTCAATTCCCCTCTGGGGAGCTAACCCACATGGCGTGGCAGACCTCTCCTGACCCTCCTGCTGCTCCCTCAGCAGTGTATTTCAGTAGACCTGCCTGTTCTGTTCCCCACTCTTCCTCTGGTGAATCCTCTCACCTCCATCCCACACTTCTGGCCTATACCCCAGTTCTTGTATGCATAAATAAATAAATCTTTAGAAAAAAAACTGCCTAGGACACACAGCCTGGCTTTTAGAAATACTGTCATTCCATAGTCTATCATAGTGGATATTGTCTCCCTTGAATACCCACCTTATCAGTTCCCTCCTTGGAGTGGACCAGAGAATGAAGTCTCTCCACATAACATGTGGACAGTCTTCACATTACCCTATGTGAGAGCTATGTCTGCACCAGAGATCTTGAGGGTCACTATGTTCCATGTTGTAAACTGGCTCTTTCAGCAGCTGCCTCACCATGGCTCCCATCAGGGTGGGACATGAGGGTGGGCTCAATGATTAATGTGTTCTCAAATTTTACTGAAGCTCAGAGTCACTTACAAACCATGTGCTCACCTCTATGCTTATTTCAAACCACATAAACACTGTGGGTAAGGGGGAGGGAATCTCACAACTGGACAATGTTGCCATCTCTACTGGATAAATGGGAGAGAACATCCAAAGTTGTAAGCCAGCCACAGAACACACTTGACTTAGAAATTTCCTAGGAAAATCATTTCCATAACAGCTATTTTGCTCTCCCTGTAAGGAGGAGGAGGAGCAACACCCAACTGGCCATCCCAGCTGCTACAAGGTCACCAGTTTGTGGACCACAGGCAAAGAAGTGTTTGGACTAGCTGGTCATTGTTTTGGAGGTGTCACCAAGGAGATGACATCAATGCTACCCGACTTTGTGCCATGTCTTCTCACAAGTATTTTGTTGTCACGATGTGGCAGAAAGTGACTCTCGGACATGTCCATATAAGGTGTCTAGCTTGCCCTTTGGCGGGGTGGCTGTAGCATTATCTGCAGCACCTGGCGTGCATGGTGGCTCCACTCCCTAGTTGGAGAGGCACCATTGAGGCTGGTGAGGCTCTTGACTCACCTCCATGCCTATCTCAGGTTGCCTGGCAACAGGCGGGAGAAGCCAACTGTTCCCAGATGCTCTCCTGTCGGGGCACATGTCATGTCTTCTATTGTCATTCTCTAGAGTGGGAGTCATTTATCTGCCCATAACTTTTGAGACAGTAGACACAGCTTACTTTCTGTTAGTGTCCTAAAGATACGTGACACAAATCAATCTCATGTTGACCCATCACCCTCTGTACTTTGGTTTTCCTTTCCTACTTGAGGCCAACATCTTTGACAGTGGTGGAAAAGGCTGGCTGACTCCAGCTGGGACTCAGGACTGAGTGGAGATGGCACCTGCTCCTCCTTTGTTCCATTACTCGCTGGGTCCCTGATACCATGGCATCTTGGTGGGGGTGGAAGGGAGCAGTTCTGCCAGAGCGCCAGGTCTGAGGGCTCTGCCATAGCACTCAAGGGGTCGGTTTTGTCCAGAATATGTTGCAGAGGGCAGAACTCTTTGCATATGACCCAGCTGTGACTCAGAAGGAAGAAGGAAACCAGAGTGACTGTGGGGAAGAAGTCTAGGAGGTAGAATAGGAGTGTCCAGGGGCAGCAAGTGCCAGCTCTCCCCAGGCCAGCCCCTCCCACCCTAGCACACTTGTCTTGTGAGTCCTTGTTCCCTCCTTTCCAACCTCTCTTAAGCAACCAGAGAAGGGAAAGCTCAGTATACTCAAGGCCAGTCACCTAGCCTCCCACCATAAAAAGAGAAAATGGAGAATGAATTTTTTATGGCCATTGTACAGATTAGGCATCATATATATAAGTACCCAGCAGAACATGTAGCACGCAGTAGGGCTGAGTCCTAAAAGGTATTATTTCTCCCTTCTTTTCCTCATTCTTTGATCGATGCCACTCCTATCCCTGTTTTTTTTTTCTCACCCCCACCAATTTCCCATAATTTGCTGATTTCACTCAAAGTGAATTTTTTTAACTAACTGGATTAATGGTTATAGTCACTCTGCATCAGTGGTCAGAGACTACTCTTCTTCAGCAGTAAAACAAGATAGGGCTTTATCACACGCAACTACGGCATAGGTCTCAGTCCCTCCTGTTGGACTTTTTACTGTTACATATATGATCATATCAGTTTCCCTGTACTTAAGGTGTAGATCACTTACATATTCCAAGGCCCATACATACCTTTTACCTAGTCTCACAAGGATGTGAGACAGGTGTCATATCTCCACAAGGGAGGTAAAGAGCAAAGATACTGAGAGGAGATTATCTAACGTTCCTTGGAAGTCACACACAGCCAGTCAGTGGAGACACCTGGCGTCTCTGGTTCACCAGCCTGCACAGACTCCCAGAAGCCACCTGCCAGCCTCAGCTGCCCTCATCCCACTCACGTAGATGCCCGCCTGGATGGCAGCCTCTGCTCCTGTGCACTCGATGGTGACTTCGGGCTTGCAGCCCAGTAGACCTTCCACTTTACTGGCAATTTCCTGAGGCGTCTCCTTGGAGATCTGGAGGACAAAATCAGCCCCAACTTCCTTGGCTTTAGACAACCTCGAGGCAGACAGATCTAAAGTTGAACAAAAGTTTCTTTCAAACTGAGCAATGGGTGGCTGATTAGGAAGAAAATCACAATGAAGGTATAGGTTCTAGTGGCAAGGAAGCATTGGGGTAGTGGTTGTGCTGCTGAGCCAACACCCTACTCAGTACACCCTTAGACACTTCTGTACACACCACAAGCTTCTCTTTCTGACACCTTCTCCTCACACAAAACACACACACTCTCCTGCACATACACTATGAAGCTAGCCACAGCTACTTCACAGGTTTGATCCCCGCCAGGGAGCTGACCCACATGACGTAGCAGACCTCTCCTGGTCTCCTAGCTGCTCCCCCCCTACACACATACAACCACGTAACTCTATACACTCATGTGTATATATATCTAGATAATCTTTCCTCTCACTCCCTCACACACACACACTGATACTTTCTACACCTTTCTACACTCATTGTTTCCAAACATACCACAAGTTCCACATATATACATATGCTTTCACAAACAACCTCTCCTCATATATACACACTCACATCTTACCACACAGACACCCTCTTATACATCTATCACACACCCCAATAACTCCATATCACACACATATACACAAACACACCCTTCTTTGCCTCCTGAACTTGATCAATGGACCAGGGGCTGAGACTTCTCTTTGGACCAAGTAGGCAGTATGGGGCAGCTGAGGGCCACACACATAGAATCAGGTACTCTTCTCCACAGCAGCCACCCTGGGAAGCAGCTTCACAAAAACTTCTCCTCCCAAGTTCTAACTTGGTCATCTCCTGAGTGGGCTCTTCAACCATGGAACTCAGGAGTAAGAGGAAGACCCTTTAGGAACTCAGGTACCCCAGGAAGGGAACAGGCCTCATGCTTCCAACTTAAACTGTAGGTCTAACTGTTTCCCTTTCAAGGAGATCTATATGAATGGAAATGAACTATAGTGGAATACTGCCAGCAATTAAAGTTGGCCATAATTCATTAACTACTGTGATGGAAAAGATTTTTCTTTTTAAAAGAGTAAGTAAAGCATTTTCAGCATACTCTCATTAGAAAAAAAAAAAAGGAAGATTCTGTGCCAAAATGTTAATAGAGGTTCTTACCCATCACCAACACCTGAGCTGCTCCCATTGCCTTGGCTACAATCAAAGTGACCATTCCAATAGGCCCTAAATAAAGGAGGAAATGAAAGATGTTTGTGAAATATTAAACATCACCTCCTCTGACCCCCACTCCAGTACCCTGGTCACAACCATATCTTGCACAAACTTCCAACATTTATCCCACTGCGACATAGTAAGACCTTAACAACTGTTTGTTGAATGCCTCAATAAATGAGTGCATGAATAATTTTTCTCTACATGTCATCTGCTTCTGTGTTGGGTTATATTTTACTTCTTTCATTCCTCAGTGCTAAACATTTTTCTCTTAGTCGTGGGGATTTCTTGGGGTAAATCTCAAAGAACCAGAATTGTTAAGGAAACATTGGTTCAAAGAAGTCTCAGAAGGTCTGGAGACGTTTTCCTGTCATCTAGAACTTGTCACACTCCCCCGGAGAGATACAACCTCTTCAGCTGCCCTCAGAGGACCACCCTGGTGGGTGTCCTTAAAGTGAGCTGGCAGACCGGGTTTACCCAGCTGCTCTAACAACTCTAAAATACCCAGGGCTGCAAGGACCAGCCTGGGAAAACACCAGCTTCCCCATATTATCAGCAGGCAGATGACACTGGGGTTTTAAAACAATAAACCTGACCAACAAAATGAGGTTATGTAGACTATCTTTGAGAATCTGCTTTTTTGACACTCTCCTTGGAAAATATTTGTGAGTTCCTCCAGGGGGAAAAAGACTGGAAAATGCCTGAAATGCTCAACAAAAGGGTAACTAAAGTGACATACTTTAAGTCATAATTCTTCATTGTCATGGAAAAATAATTTACAATATATTGATTATAAAAAAAGAGTGGCAAAATTAAGAATTTTCAGCATGATCATTAAGGAAAAGAAAAATGTTAACAATGGTTCTCTTAAGCTAATGGATGATAGGGCTGTAGATGAATTTCTGTTTGTGTGTGTGCTTATTATGTATTGTAGGTAATGTCTGTATGACCTATCTTCTTGTTTAAAAATCTGTCACCAGAGTCCTGCAGTATGCTGGATCATTGAGACAAGTCTGTCATCTACCCACCACCCCTCTGAGGAAGTCCTGAAGAAAATCACTCACAAAAGTGTATGAGGAATGCCAGATCACACCCATGTGAGCATGCTGTTTGTGGTTGCTAGGGCTGGTTCAGGTGACTGAAGCAGGGAGGAGATAGGGTGCCAGCAGTGACCCCTAAGTGGCCAGGGTGCTGGCTTAAGGCTGGACTCCATTCCTTCCACTGGCCATGAGCAGGTCCTACCTCATTCTTGGATGGACTGGGAGCCCACTTCACTCATCAACACGAAAGTTCCAGTTTCCCTTCCCTTTGCTATAAAAACATTTCCCTTGTTTCTTGCTCAGTTGAAAAATAAACCCAAGGCCCTCCCCGGTGGTGCAGCAGGTTAAAGCACAGCACTAAGAAGCTAAAGCCACTTTCGTATGAGTTCGATTCCCGCCTGCCCCGGAGGTGACCACATGGCATGGCAGACCTCTCCTGACCCACCCGCTGCTCCCCTCAGCGGTGTACTTCAACGATCTGCCTGTTCTGCTCCCCGCTCTATCTCTGGTGAATCCTCTTACCCTCCACATCTCTGGCTTGTACCCCAGTTCTGTATGAATAAATAAATCTTAAAAAAAAAAAAAAAAAGAAAAAAAAAAACCCAAGTTATATTCTTTAATGAATAAAATGAATTCACTTAAAAGTAAAATTAGTTTATTTTGCCTAGAAAAATAACATTAATCACTTCATGTCTGCAGACAGTTTATTAAGTGAAGTACGGGTCAATGAGGGAGTGGACATGGTAATCTTTCCTGACCCAGAAAGACTCTAGGGCAAATTTCAGCCCTTGGAGGGGAACTGAGATGGGCAAAAGGTCCCCACATTTCCATAGTGAGCTCATAACCAGATGCCATCGGTTTCTTACCAGCTCCACACACAAAGACTTTGTGTCCAAGGCTGATTCCAGCTCGCCGGCAGGCATGGATCCCCACAGACAGTGGCTCAATCAGGGCCCCCTCCTCGAAGGTGACATTGTCAGGAAGCCTGGAGAGTCATTGAACACCTGTGGTTAGTTCTCCTTGGGCTGATGATAATAATATGAGCTAATAGTTACTGAGCATTTATTTATGTGCTGGGCAATGTGCTCTGTAATTTACATATATTCATTGAAGTAAATCCTCAGGACATATCTGTGATGGGTACTCTTAGACCATTTTATACTTGAAGAAAAAACACACTGCTGAGGGGAGCAGTGGGTAAGATAGGCATCATGTGGGTTGTCTTCCTGGCTGGGAAGTGGTTGCAGCCAGCTTCATAGTGCTGTGCTTTAACCTGTTGTCCACCAGGGAGGGCCTGAAAATGCTTTTCTTTGGTGAAAGCCCTTTTGTGAATGGAAGTCTATGTTTCCTGTCACAGGCCTTCCAATACCAGGCTATTGTTAATAACTGAAAAACTCACTGAATAAGGGGGTAACATAACCTCACTCTAGCATGTCATTTATTTCTCAAACTTACAGCTGTTCCAGTTTTACTTTAGCAAACAACCCTCATCAGCAGAAGTTTTATAAAACACGTATTCAGGAGCCCCACAGTACATGTTCCAGAGGAACCATATGTAATGGCAGCAGCTGCCTGGTTGTCCCAGGAAAGGGTGAGATGAGGATGTGTCCCACACAGCTGATAAAATGCTGTATCACCTATACCACTGGGTGCTTGGCTTGCACTTTTTAGTGCATTGATCTCTTGATTTAGTAAGCCCCCACTGATAAAGAGAGCAAATATTTACATAAGGCTTTAGAGATTAGAGAGCTTTCTTGTCATTGTTTTATTTAATCTGTAACATGATCTCTAACAGACAGGAAGGGCAAGCTTTATTTTTACCTTAATTTTACAGAAGAGGAAGCTAAAGCTCAATGCCATTTAGAGGTGTGCCCAAGGTTACGAGACTGGCAGGTAGAAAAGCAAAGAATTGAACCCAGGTCTCCTGCTACCACTTTCTCTGCCTGTCCCATATCAGTTGCCTATTGCTTTAAGCAGCTCTAGAGTTAGTATCTAATTTCTGCTAGTTCCTCCCTTTAAGTGCCCACAAAACTCCCACAAGTAACACAAACATCCTCAAATTCCAAACATAAAAAGGCAGCCAAGCCTTGTGTTCATTCCTATGATCTCTTTTTCACTGTCCATGATTGGTCCACTACAAGATGAATAATGAGGAACCTGGCTGCTACCCACCAGACTTTTTTTTTCCATCCCTCTGCTTCTCTCCTGCCTCCCCTCCCTACAATCCACTCTTCTTCCCTTTGACTGCACTTATTACTCTTTATCCCATCCCCTAACCCCTAATTCTATATAAGGGAAACAAGTTTGAAATGAATTAACAAAGACTCCAAAAGTCTCAAGAACCTTCCAACCATGTTCTCTCAGACACACTGTGCCTCCCCCCAAGTCTGTGTTGGTTCTATAAGCTGAGGGGAGCCTTTGGTGAGGAGCCATCAACTTCCTTCTGACTTCTCCTAAGAATAAGAACACCAAGGAGGAAAAGGATAAGAGAGAATTGTTAAGGGATCCTACCAATCAGATAGTTATGATCTTATCACATAAGCTGCCAAGGCCAGCCCCATGGAGGGCAGCCTGATGCAGGGACCGAATCACCAGGCAAGAGGCCTGGTCGCCCCCTCCCACCCCCACCCCCAACTTCTGCACTGACCTTGGGAGAGTTATCTCTTTCCCAAAGCTTCTTTAGTGGGGACTGAGAGGTAAGGGAGATAAGAGGACTTGAAGTTCTTTTTTTTTTAGCTCTTTATTTTATTTACAATAATTTTTTTTTCTTTTTGTAATGTTGGTTTACAACATTGTGTAGGGTTTGGAGAAGAGGAACTCTAAATTTTTTTTTACAGCCCTAATAACCTTTCATGTCTTTATAAATACCAAGAATGACAAGACAACTTGGTGGTTTTCATGATAGGGTTACAGGAACAGGCAAAAGGGTAAAAGATATTCAAGAAGTCAAGGGGGAAGCAGGAAGACAGAAAGAAAATAAAGTGGGTAGAGAATTAAAGAGGCTGTGTTAGTGTTGGAATCCTTACAAAGAAAAACCTGTCCAGGGCTGGGCAGGGGACACAGGCTGAAAGTAACCCAGCAGGAGAGGAGGGGTGGGGTGGCATGTCTCTGAGAGACTCTCCTCAGGCTTTCCATTGCCACTGACAACAGGAACAACTGTCCCCTACCATTCCCTATAGATCAATACCCTTTCGTGCAAGGCTGCCTTTCAGGTTTTACCTTGTTCCATCTCTCACAGTACAAGATCACAGCTGTGCCACATCGTGGCCTCTACTGCATGTTAGGCTTTATGCTGAGTAGCTGATACGCCATTCTCATTGAATCCTATCAGTAAACCTATGCATTTCTTCACACTGGTGCTCTTCTTATCTCCATTTTACAGGCCAGCATATTGAGGTTACAAAGTTTAAGTAACTTGTTTGAGGTGACATGGTTGGTAAAAGGCAGAGAACAATGGTTAGTCCTGGGCCCTACCACTAGCTCTTCTGTGAGAAGAGCATGCCAATGACCAGAAAACATGTCTGGTTTAGGGACCACTTGCTGAAAGGAACATTCTGCCCAAGTAACCTGTTTTCTTCCAGAGCAGGTTCAGGTGTTGACTTCAACTCATCATGAGGTCTCTGAACTGTGACTCCTCTGCAGGCTTCCAGTGGGCACTAGAAAACCCAGATCTGTGGGAATTTCTCTGTGACTGGTACCTGGACCCTACTGCATAAGCCCCAACCCAGCAGACAGAGAGAGACTTCTGGGACCAGACAGGGTGGCGGGAAAACTCACCCAGTCAAACCAGAAGAAAAGCAGCACATTGACATCCAAGAGCTTCATGGGCTGGGACTCATGCAGATCACACAGCACTTTGCTTCTGCCAGACTAAGCCACTCACGTCACAACCAACTTGGGAGTTGGAGTCAGGGAGTGAGCACAGGGCAGGAGCTTGAGAATCACAGTCATTCAATCTCGACTCCTATCTGCTCTATGCCCAAGTCAATTAGCCTCCTCCAGCCCCTGTTAACTCCTGCATAAAACTGCAGTAGTGGTGACCATCTCACGATTACAGCACTCGTTATTAGCACAAGGCCGGGCATGTGACTTTACATGCATTGCCGTATTTAACCTTTAGGTGATTAAGTGAAACCGAAGCAGAGGAAGCCTAAGTCATTTCCTCAAAATCACTTGCAAGGAGTGAGTGGATCAAGGATGCATCCTGACAGCCACACCTGGCTCTATGCCAGGCCACCTTGGTAAACCTCTCTTGCTGCTATTATGATCAGGGTCACTGCTAGTGTCAGTTTTTTTCCCTGTGGCTGCAGTGGAAACGAGGAGGACAAACCACAAACTACCTCCAGGACAGCTGGAGAGGGCTGAGTGATTTACGCAACAGATTTCTACTGCTGCTCTTGAAGAGGAAAAGTCAGGATGGAAAGACCAAAACCAAGTACTGTTAGTCAGTCTGAGCCCTAATCCAGTTATCCTCCCTCAGTGCCACCAAGCAACAGACCTGTGCAGGGGATGCTTCTTTTCTGGAATCACGAACTGAAGAGAATAAAGAAACCCAACAGGAAGCTTGCAGAAAGAACACTCAATGAATGGAGAGGGAGCTGACCCAAGTGGCACAGCCAGGTGGTGGGTACTAACTTGTAACAGAAGTCAGCGTTATGTTTGTAGAAGCGGCAGAGGTTCCCGTCGTCAGGGGGTGTGGCACAGAAGAAGATGGTTGGTGACAGGTTGTATCGACCAACCTTGCAGAATTCATCAGTTACTCGGGGAGCACCAGGCTCGATGGCAACACGATCACCTGCAGAGGGAAACATGAGCAGAGGCAGAGATGCTGTGAAGGGACTTATACTCATGGCAGATGATGGATGGGGGCATCTGGACCAATGGGCACCCTCCTCACTGGGTGCCCTAGGCCAGGCTACCCTGCTAGTGCTTCTCATGGGACACGAAACTGATTCACTCAGAGAAAATGCCCACCCACTTCTCCACAGACTGGTTTGACTGCCCTTTTACTTACTCCTTCAACAAGTCAACCTGCCCTTCTAGCTCCATAGCCACCTCTCAATGTGGAAACTCAGGACCTATTCCATCACTAAGGCACCAAGACTAGCTCCCACCTCACACTTCTGCAAAAGAGGTAGCTCGTGTGTGAAATTTGCAGACTGTTTTCTCTCCAACTGTTTGGAAACATGGAACAAGACCTTGACAAACACCAGAGCTATAATTATGGTGTATCTTATTCAGTCTGGGTGTGTTTAGATAATAACCACAAGTTAACAGATTCCTGGTCAGCAGAACTGCTAAGGTAAATGACCTGTCCAGGACTCAGCTGGAACAGCAGATAATAGAATTCAGGTAGCAGAATAGCAAGCTCTACTTTACTTTTACTCTACCTGTGCTTAGAAATGCAGCTTTAGATTCGCTCTTCTATCATATAATTACAGAAATTATCAGATACACAGCATAGTTGAAACAACTGCAAATAGAACATCCAGACATCCTACATCTAGATTCCTCAATTAACAGTCAGCTTCATTCACTCTCATCACATGCATCCATCCCTCCCATCTCTCCTTTATCCATCAGTCTATCTTCTTTTCTGATGGATTTCAAAGTAGATTGCAAACATTAGCACACTTCACCCTTAGGTACTTCAGCCTGTGTATCATTAACTAGAGTTCAGCATCTGTTTATGATTCTTTTTGCAGGGAAAATTTAGACTTTGATAGATTGTTAGGTGAATTTTGATAAATGTGTAAACTCCTATCAAAATATAGATCTTTGTGGGCCTTGGTAAACTTCTCTTGCTGCTATTATGATCAGGGTTACTGCTAGTGTCAGTTTGCAGAAAACAGTCTGCAAATTTCCCTGGTGGCACAATGGGTTAAAGCTCAGCACTACAAAGCTAGCGGCAGCTGCTTCAGCATGAATTTGAGCCCCAGCCAGGAAGGTGACCCACATGGCACAGCAGATCTCTCCTGACCCACCCGCTGCTCCCCTCAGCAGTGTACTTCTTCAATCTGCCTGTTCTGCATCCGTCTGTCTCTGGTGAATCCTCTTACTGCCCCAGAACCTCTGGCCTGTATCCCAGTCCTGTATGCATAAATAAATAAGTCTTTAAAAAAATATATCAATCTCTGCCAGTAGATCAAAAATTTCATTTTTTTCTATGTCTTCCCAGTCAGTCTTGACTCCCGCTCTACCCCCAGAAGGATGTTCATGTAGAGTCCTGGTACATGGTACTTACTAAAGTACCATGTATAGCAGTAGCAGTAGCATTTTTCATTATTATACTTATCTGAGGTGCTAGAGAGGAAATTCAAGCTATGAGATGGCAAAGTATAAGTAAATTAGAATTTATTCATGTCTTAGATTTATTGACTCTTTCAGAGCTAACACAGAATGGCACCTTCTGCCAACTCACCCTCCCTGCATAATCTGACTAATCTAGGCTATGCATTGGTCTCACCAGCAAAGGAAGGTTAAAGCCAACAGTTATCTATGCCAAGACAGTTTGGATTTAATTCACTTATTGAGGAAACCCTCACACTGTCACTGCTGAAATATAGTAAGGAAATATTGATGGTTTCCCAACATTCAATAAAATGAAAAACTACGTTCATGGTCCTGGTTCTTGGCAGGAGGAGGCAGTTTGTGGTTCTTATGACTGGAAGGGTTTCCCCAGCACTTTCACCTGGCTTATTTCTTATTTTTCTTTAAAGATTTATTTATTTATGCATACAAGAACTGGGGTGTAGGCCAGAGGTATGTGTGTGTGTGAGGGTGAGACGATTCACCAGAGACAGAGTGGAGAGCAAAACAGGCAGTGAGTGAGACAGGAGAGGTCTGCTCTACCATGTGGGTCACCTCCCTAGGGTTGGAACTTGCAGTGGCTGCCTACTGATGACTCTTACCTTTTTGTGCCACCAGGGAGGCCCTACCTGGCTCTTACTTACTTGCCTTTAAGGGTTGGATCCATTGTCCCTTCCATAGGGATATGGATAGAATTCCCAGTGAGTATCCTGTATCCTCCTCCACTGCCTGCAACATAGCTGTAATTAAGATCTGTCTGTCTCATTTCTGTCCAGACCAAGATAGTCTTGTTCACTGCTGTATCCTCTGTGTTTAACACAAGTCCTGGCCCAGAGAAAACACACACATTTATGTGAAATGAAATTCATTATTGAGGTAAGTCTTTTTCACCTGGTTTTAGGTGCCTGACCAATGATCCCACTTTTACAACTGTTCCAGAAGCTTCATGCCCTAGCACCATGGGCTTTTTCACAATAAAATCCCCAATTCGACCATGCTGCCAGTAGTGGACATCTGAGCCGCAGATTCCAACAGAATGCATCTTCAGCAGCACCTCTGGTAAGAGAAAGAAGGAGAAGGTAAGTGAGGGAAAGAACGACTCCTATGTCATTCTGCAGCATCCTGGCACTTTTCCCCTGGACAAGAGCCAGGGCTTGGTTTTGACAGCAAGATACACAGTTTAGACCATAGAGTAAAAAGAGCTAAAGAACTATCCCAATTAAATCTTGCAGTGCAAAAAAGCTTCCACAAGCAAAATGACTGCATGTGATGGTTAATTCTATCTGTCAGCTTTGCTAAGCTACAGTACCCATTATTTGGGAAACACTAGATGCTGCTGTGAAGATACTTTTTAGATGAGATTAACATTAACATTAACATTTAAGCATTCGATGTTCAGTGCAGCATTATTCACAATAGCCATGACAAGGACTAAGTGTCCACCATGGATGAATGGATAGAGAATATATGGTTTAGGATGATTTCACTTATATGTGGAATACAAAAAAAAAAAAAAAGAGAGAGAAAAGAAAAGAAAGCAATCTTTGAAACAAATCGAAACAAATCTTTGAAATCTGACTACAGATCTGAGGCTATCTGAGGGGGGTAGAGAGTGGAGAGCTCAGGGAGGGGGGTTCAATGGTGGAGGATTATTGGAACTTTAGCAGTAGAGTTGTAACAAGCATTTGTATAGCTGTAAACCTATACTCCTAAAACATCTACTGTGTTGTAAACCAACAACATTTCAAATTTTTTTAGTTAAAAAAGAAAAAGATTTTTTTACAAGGTTGTGGTTTATATATACATTCCACCGTAAAAAAAAAAAAAGAAATCTCACCATTTATGACAACCTGAATGAGACTTGAGGGAGGGCATGTGGTTAAGTGGCATAAGTCAGACAGAGAAAGACAAATAATATAAAAATGAGTTCATTCATGTGTAGCATCAAAGTCAAAAAACAACAGTCAACCAAAAAATTATACAAAAATATGATTTCAATCAACAAAAAATACAAAATATGATTTCATTTATATATAGAATAAGAAACAAAAACAACAACCAACCAAAACAGTATACAAAAAATATGATTTCATTTATATGTGGAGTCAAAAACAAAAGACAACCAACCAAAAAAAAAAAATTGAGATCACAGATACTGAGAACAATTGTTTGTTGCCAGTGGCAGGGAGAAAGCAAATTGGGTAAAGGGGTCAAAGGGTATAAACTTCCAGTTATGAAATAATTAATAGAATATAACATGCAGAATGGAGTTATTAGTCAATAATACTGTCCTACAGATTTGAAAGTTACTAAATTCTCATCACAAGAAAATAAAATTTGTAACTCTATATGGTGGCAGATGTCACTTTAGTATAAGGGTGCCTACTTACTGTGATCATTTCAGTGTATACAAATATCAAGTCACTATAGCCTGTACACTTGACACTAACATAATGTTACATGTCGATTGTAACCTCAATAAAAATAGAAGAACATTTAGATCAGTACACTTTAAGCAGATTACCCTCTACAATGTAGACAGGTCTCATTCACTCAGTAAAGGCCTTAAAAGACAGATTTCCTGAAGAAGCAATTATCCAATACAGCAATATCAGCTCAATTTCTAGTCTTGTGGTCAGCCATAAAACCTTCAATTCCCACAATCATGTAAGCCTCAAAATCTACCCCCTCACTTCATATACATATACGATAATTCTCTATAGGAACAAACCTATACAATAAATCTATCACTCCTGTATCTATAGAGAACTAACTTAAACATACTGCTTCAGCAAGATATTATTAGTAAGGAAATATGTACAAATCACATAAGAGAACAAACTATTTTCTAGCATCTAACAGTTTCCAGACAATGAATATGCTATGCTTGATTACTACTTATTCATGAGAGGGAGGCTGGCAGAATCTAGGCTTGGCAACATTTTGTGAGCTGTCAGGCTGCATTCTTCACGTCTGTTGTTTTCTTAAAAAAAATGCAGCTTCAATTTAAGTCATCCAAAGATTTCAACTGGCATCTCCCCTTTACAAGTCTGAATAAAGTAAGATTTGGTGATATTGTTGTCAATGTTCCAAGTTTAGAATAATGACGCTCCCAGAGCCTCTTTGCTGAAATAAGTACAAAAGGATTACTGCCTCGTCTGACTGAGATGACCATGTTACGAGTATCGGCCTGAGAAAAAGCTCTGTCTCAGACAGACAAAGAGACCTAAAGCTGTGCTTGCACATTCAAATGTCTCACATACCATCCTCACCACAAACCACGGGTGATCCACAAGGTGTGGCCCTAACTTTCTTTATCCTTGGTTTTGGGAACAGAGTCAAAAATGGCAGGGATCTGAGATCGATGGTGGGGAAAAGTCACGTATCTTAAGAAAATTATGTCAGAGTTTCCACCATTGCAAATTTGTAATAAGATATCAATCAAATTTGACTTGCAAAAACTCTAGCTGAGGGCCCTCCCTGGTGGCGCAGCAGGTTAAAGCACAGCACTGAGAAGCTTAAGCTGATTCTGCATGGGTTCGATCCCCGCCTGCCCCAGAGGAGATCCACATGGTGCAGCAGACCTCTCCGGACCCGCCCGCTGCTCCCCTCAGGAGTGTACTTCATTGATCTGCCTGTTCTGCTCCCCACCGTCTCTGGTGAATCCTCTCACCCTCCTCATCTCTGGCCTATACCCCAGTTCTGTATGAATAAATAAATAAATCTTAAAAAAAAAAAACAAACTCTAGCTGAAAGTGACCATCCTTTCCCCCTCCAATTCAAGGGTAGCAACAGACATGAACATGAGGACAAGAAGTTGCCTCAGAGAGAGAAGCAGAACCCAGATCTTTTGAGTTCTAGTCCTTATTTCCACTGGTGGAATCAACGCCAAATTTTCAGGACATCGTGAGGTACTCCTTCATGACTGTGAATATGATATCTTGGTGAAAAAGCTTAAGCCCTAAATCTACATCCCTTGCTAACCACTGATAGAAACATCTATTGTTTGTACTTTTATCACTATAAATGAATAACTCAACTAACCTTTGAGTAGCAAAATTCTGGAAACTGTCAAGAAAGCTGCCTCCAATCTTATGCTCACCCAGAAGCTACCATTCTGGAGTGAGGTGGGCTGGGTTGGTACATACCTAAATCCATAAGACAGAAAGGACTTAAGTGGTTAGATGTGGGTTGAGCTAACTATACCGCTGGCCCTGGCTCCCAGTCTCACTTCAGGGTTACACAGATTATGAAGTGGGTCTCCAGGGATGGGAGGGACTGGAGAGCCATCAGTAGGGATCTGTCCTAGCCAACCAGGTCTAGACACCACCAGGAAATGTGCCTGTCAGCTTGGCCCAGTAGGCTTGTGTGTCCAGCGAGAGGCCAGAGGAGAAGAGCAAAGGTGATGGGAGGCCTGCCCCAGTGCGCTCACCTATCTTCGGTTCCTGCTTCGTAGGGCAGTGAGGTAGGGATGCATGTGATTTCTCTTGCCCCCACCTGGCAGAAGATCTTGAGCCATTCCCTCTCCTAATTAATAAAGTTCTATAGATGTTTTCCTTAACAAAGTTCCAGGTAGAGTGAGGCAAGCCAAATAATGATTGGCAAGCCAATAACAGCTTATGGTGGGCAGAGTAACCTACTCTGTTATTAGGAGAAAAGAGCAACAGTTCTGCTTCTTTGTGGGCCTTCCCTGGCCACTTCAGTGCAAATTCAATCCTCAGCCCCGGAGGTGACCCACATGGCACAGCAGACCTCTCCTGATCTGCCCACTGTTCCCCTCAGCAGTGTACTCATCAATCTATCTGTTCTGCTCCCCCGTCTGTCTCTAGTGAATCCCACTGCCCCTGTACCTCTGGCCTGTACCCCAGTTCCGTATGCATAAATAAATTTTTTTTTTTTTTAAAAAAAACAACTTAGTGACAAGCCAGCAGTCTGAAGTGGTAACTATTCTGGATCTATCACTACTTCCTTTATCTTGTGTAATAGCCAAATTAAATCTACCCTTTCGTACTGTGGATAACACACTAAGCTTTCAACCTAACAAAAGCATAGGTCTTAATGGAGCCCGAAGTAACAAACAGTAGGAAAAGAGGAGGTAAGGGAGCAATGCAAATGTATTTCCAGAATAAGAAACAGGCAACCTACCATTTGGGCCTGGCTCAGGGATTGGATAGTTCTCCTGAAGGAAACAAAACAGGGGGAAGAAAATCAGTTAGCATAATTATTTTTTAAAGATACTTATTTATTTATGCATGCAGAACTGGAGTACAGGCCAGAATTACAGGGGTGGTGAGAGGATTCACCAGGGAGCAGGGAGCAGAATGGGCAGGTCTATGAAGTACACTGCTGAAGGGTGCAGAGCGGGTCTTTCTGCCATGAGGGTCAGCTCCCAGGCGGGGGATCAAACTTGCACTGAAGCGACTGCAGCCAGCTTTTAGTGCGGTGTCCTAACCCGTTGCGCCCCCAGGGAGGGCCCCAGTTAGCATAATGTTATCTTATGAACATTTTCCCTTATTTACTTATTTATTTTTGGTACAGTGGAATTTCACTCAAATATTTCTTAACACAGACGCAGACCGTACTGCAGGAGGCAGGGCACAAGGAAGCCTTAGGGAGTGCACTCTAATTGCTGACTTCACCTAAGCCTCTGGTGCAATTCCCCCTGGAGCAAAGGAAGAAGTATTTACATCCACCCCATAAGCAGAAAGAATGTGCTATTCCTGGGTCTCTAGATCTGCCTCCCATATCAGATTCTCCTTTCTAGGAAAAACATTCTTAGATACAGATTTGTTTGGTCTGAGAGACTCACATAGGGAGAGGATGAGGGTATTTCTTGCAGTTATATGCGAGGGTTTTGTTCTGTAGACAGATTGGAAAAAGTGTGTGTGCTGCTCTTTCCCTTTACAGCAGCACACAGACCAGTGCCTGGCCCGCTCTTCCCAAACCCCACCATGTAGAGTTTTTTAGAGGTCCCTTGGGAACACATGGGCCCTGTATCTTGGCCACTCCCAGAGGTTCAAAAAGAAACCTTAGCTGTTCTGGTATTCCTGATTGATGATAATCAGTTTACAAAACATTTTCCCCCACTGTCAACTAGTTAGGACATTCCTGGTGCTAAGGAGGAATGATACTCAGTGGCCAAATCTAAGTGTTGATTTATTAATTTTATGAAGGTAGTCAAAAAGAGGGAGAAGGGCTGTAAAATGTTACAGGGCTGTACATGTGACAGATGGTGTGCTGGGCTCTGCACACATCATGGCACAAGTTCCTCGTCACAGCCCACAGTTTGCAGACAAGAAACTTGAGGTGAGAAGTTAAATGACTTGCTCAAGGTCATTACCACCAGAGTAGTTAAGCCTGGGATTCCCAAGCCTGCTTTGCAGTATCCCACTGCACATCCAAGCTGGTTGGAATAAGACTTTTTTTTTTAAGATTTATTTATTTATGCATACAGAAACAGGGTACAGGCCAGAGGTGCAGGAGTGGTGAGAGGATTCACTGGAGACAGAGTGGGGAGCAGAACAGGCCGACTGACAAAGTACACTGCTGAGGGAACAACAGGTGGGTCAGGAGAGGTCTGCTGTGCCACATGGGTCACCCCCGGGGCCGGGGATTGAACTCATGCTGTAGTGGATTTAGCTTCTTAGTGCTGCATTTACCTGCTGCACCACCAGCGAGGGCCCATCATGGGTGATTTAAGGGGCCGTTAATAAGGTGATGAGAAAATGGGTGCTGACCCTATGCCCTGGGAGGAGACACCATTTAAAACTTGCCTCCTGAAAGACACTTTTATCGGTAACACGGGGGCTATTTTGCTAACAAGGCAATAAACACCTGGATGGCAAAGGTCATCCCTTCAATGTCTTCAGCCCCAAGTACAGAGCTCTTCTCCAAACTAGGGGAAGGAGGGAAGTTTATTAAATAACCACTCTCCAGTATACTGCTTCTACAACAGGTCTGAGGTTCTCCTTCCTCTCAGATTACCAATCCAGTCAGGTGAAGCAGCTCAGAGCTAATTTCAACCCTATCTCCAATGAAACAAAGCTGAAGAGGCAATGCTAAAGCCGAGTAGCTAACACTGGCTAACTTCTTTGTGTCAGGGCCGGTGCCAACTGCCAGCATGCATCTCCTTTAACCCTCACAACAATCCTATACTGAAACTTCTATCATTATCAACCCCTTTTTCCACAGGATGAGACTGAGGAAGAGGAGGTATAGCAAACTGTCCATGGTTACACTAAGGTAGTAATGGTAGAGTTGTATTCAAAAAAAGCAGTCTGATGTGGTGAAGGTTGTTTTTGATCTCTTAATAATTTAAACTGTCCACATCTGCAAGGACAGGAGGAAAGGGAAGGAAGGAAAGAGAGAGGAGGAGGAAGGGGAGAGAATCCATCTAGAAACAGGCAGTTCAAGGTAATTGGCTGTCACCAAAATCTCTCTTAAAAGAAATCACTGGTCCCACTGTTGATGTACATCGTCAAGAACAGCTGTGTTCATTTATGTTTCTGCTATACTGTAATTAAAAATTTTTTTAGATTTATTTATTTATGCATACAAGAACTGGGTTACAGGCCAGAGGGGTGGGGGCGGGGGTGAGAGGATTCATCAGAGACAGAGTGAGGGACAGAACAGGCAGACTGACGAGGTACACTGCTGAGGGGAGCAGAGACAGGACAGGTCTGCTGTGCCATGTGGGTCAGCTCCTTGGCCAGGAATCAAACTTGTGCTGCAGTGGTTGCAGAGAGCTTCATAGTGCTGTGCTCTAGCCCATTGTGCCACCAGGGAGGGCCCTAGACTATAAAATTTTAAACTGCAGGTTAAGCTGACACTAAAGACTAAGGTCTTTATTTCAAACGTGGAACAAAATAGCTCATCCTCCGTCAAAAGGCCCTAGCAGGCAATTTCCCAAGCACACTTTTCCACAGCAGTTTTCATTTTCTTGCCTCCAACCAGACCAGGCCTCAATACCCTATTCGTGGGTGGAGAGTTGGTGGGTTCAAGCACAAACAGCTGGACACACCAAGTAGCCCTGGGCCCTTAGAGATGATATTGTAAATACTTGCTGAGTCAACAGCCTTTGGCTTTCTGGCTCAGGCAAAGTGGCAGTGACTCTTTAGGACACTAGAGGGTGCTGTGCAACAACCTGGTTTTTCCATAATTAGCAGAATACACCTTACAGATAATTTGAATACCTCTCCCTGCAAGCTAACCTTCCATTTCCATTCTCTTCCTTGCTGCTTGGCTCCTGTCTCCCCTCTCTGCAGGAGACATGTCGTCAGAACGCAAGATGATGTGAAGATCATTTATGAGTATTATCCCAGGCACATCTGTAGCTCTCACCATGTTTTAGAAAGTAATCACAGCAGGGTAACTTAAAGAATTTTGTTTTTCACTTGTGATTACTTGGTATGATGCTGACTACAATCCTCTGCTTACTTAATCTTCTTTTCTGTCTCAGATTTCAGTGGTGATATTCTTTTCATTTAACCTATTTCTCATCTATCAGAGTCTCTTTGTTTCTCTGAAATCTCAAACTTTCACTTTTATCCCCATAATCTCTTTCTTCCCAGAGGTTTTGTAATCTCAGGCTAATTCATGAACAGGATTTCTTATCTTTCTGTGAGAGACAGTAAAAGGGGATAGAGAAGTTACTATTCTTTACTATAGAACTGTGTTTTCCCCCAGTATTTTATAATTCAAGTCAGAAACACATGTGATATGCATCTTTTCCCTTCTAACCCCTTTAGGTCTCTTCTGCTCTTTCCACATACACACCCCATTATCATGGAAACACTCAGGAGAACTCTGTGGGAACAAGGATTCATTAGGTGCCTCCGGCATCCTAAATGCTATTTTGATTTTTCAAAAAAATACTTTGAGGGGCCTCCCTAGTGGCACAAGGGGTTAAATCTCAGTACTATGAAACTATTAGCAGCCCCTACAGCACAAGTTCAAGCCCCAGCCAGGGAGGTGCCCACATGGCAGAGCAGACCTCTCCTGTCCCGCTTGCTGCTCCCCTCGGCAGTGTATTTCAGTGGATCTGCCTGTTCTGCTCCTCACTCTGGTGAATCCTCACCCTCAGCCCCCACCCCCCCTGCCCACACACACCTCTGGCCTACACCCAGCTCTTATATGCATACATAAATAAATATTATGCATACAAAATATTTTTGCAAACTACTTAAATATGTATTTCCTAAATACAATAGCCTCCTACTTCTACCTGCATATTCAAGTATATCCTCTTTATATACCTGAATGGTGCAATGTTGAAAATTCAGACTCTGAAATTGTCTGGTCATGGGCAAACCCAGGCTCCCCTCCACAAGCTGTGTGGCCCTGAGGGTAGTTACATAAAAGAGAGGTCCCAACTCATAAGTAAATAAGTCAGCTGTTATTACAAAAGAGAAAATCAAAATTCCTCTTCTATAATTAGCTTACAGTGTGATTGAACCAGCTCTGGATAACCTAGTCCCTTTTCTTTTGAAAAGGGTGAGGTTTTAAAAAAGTGTTTTGAGGAAAAGTTGTATTTCCTTAGGTTTCATGTCAATAGTAAGAGACCTTGACTGCAACTTAACAGGTTAGATTTTGGACGTGGCAAGACAGAGTGTAGCACCTCCTGCCCACCCCCTACCTGAGAGTGAGGAGCAGCTGGCAGGGTATGGAGAATGCACCAGCCTTGCCCGAGGCCCTCACAGCCCACCATCACAGGTCACCTGCTCCCACTGGCCAGGTACCCTATCAACCTGTCAGCTGACTGCCCTGCACACATTCAGAGAGCAGAGCAGAGACCTTATTATTGCTTCCCTCCCTCCTCAGTTTTCCTCCTCCTTTGAGTGTGTACAGGGTGCTTTGATATTTCCTAACTTTGTATTTGGTCATAAGATGCTTTGTTCTAGCCGACTTGGTTTCAGGAAACTCGGGGTCAAAGTAGAGGGGTTGATCACTCTCCCAAAGTTCATTGAGCAGGTTTCCAGCCCAGGCTCTTGGGGCTTAGTCTAGTTCTGCTGATAGCAATCTTCCTAAAATGCAAATCCATTTAAAGTGTTCATGGGCCCCATAAAGTCCGAAGCTTCTCACATGGTGACTCCCATGCCTTCTGCAATTTCCAAACTCATCCTGAGCTTGCTCTCTTACCTTTCATCTCAGAGTCATTTCTCTATCAGCTAATCCCTCTGC